TAACGCTCAGAAGCATGCACAATAACATCATACTTTTCATTGAATCACTTTAGAATTAATACAATGATAATGTTTCCGTCGAACGTTCTCCGCGTTTGCATTAAAATGCTTAGCTGGGGAGGATAAAGCATAAGCTTTGTGAGTTAGTACAGTCTAAGAGAGCTTATGAAGAAACGAAAATTATATTCAGTACTAATATCCGTTAATAAAAAAGTTACGCCGAGTTGGTGAGTTCTCTCGGGCTGCCGGCTCAAGTCCCAAGTCTCGAGTCGATACGAAGGGGAGACCAGTTATTTTAATTATACTAAATTAGGAGTACGAAACTTTGTATTGTTCTTAGATCGTGATGGAATTCGAATTTTTTCAGGAATATTCTTATTTTTTATTAAATTATTTTATTTTCACTTAAGGGGTTATTCTAGTATAGAAACTCAACAAAATCGATTTTTTTATTTCATATTTTTAAAGTTTAACTATGTAAGAATATGGGTACGAAAGGTTTATTAAAATTTGAATTATTTTCTGAGATATAGGCATTTTACTGACTCGGTCTCCATACTGGTTTGGCTTCACGCAAAACATTAAATGCGTTTTTCTCAGAACAGACTTTTTCAGTACTGTTGACACGATTTCTCGAGTTCTACATGACCGATCCACATGAAATGTTCAGAGAGTCTTGTTTATAGACCTATCTATAATAATATATCTTTTATTATTTTTAAAAAATTCGAGAAACTCAAAAAAAAAACAGTAAAAAAAAAACACTTTATTTTCAAACAGTCGCCAATTTGCAAAAAAACTTTTTTTATTCATCGCTAGTTCGGGCGATTGCGACATCATTGTAGATTCATAATTTTTTTTATTTCTTTTATTTCGTATGGCCAGGAGGGCTGAAATCATGTCAAGGCTGAGGTGCCAATTTTGTGAGACCACTCACTTCATAAACTGCCAGCTTTTACAATTTTCAACTTTTTTTTTTCAATTTACACTTTAAAATTGACTTAAAATTCATCGCTCTACACTAGTTATTTAATACCCCCTTAAAATAGGAAAAGATTCTGGGTTTAATCGAATTGTAATAATGGTGAAATCAAGTAAAGAATCATAACCAATTTTCAGGATATTTTTAACTTTCCGTAGGCTAAGTTATAGTAATCGTCTGAAAATCGAAAATGAAATTTTTTGCATATCTTTACTTTTCAGATGTTTCTGAACATCTGCGCATATAAAAAAAAAACAGAAATGTGTGTGTGAGTGTACGCATGTGCGTGTTTATGTATGTGCGGTACAATTTTTCATTGATTATTTATAAAGGTAGGTCCAGCCGTTTGCGAAGATACGGCGCAAAATGTGCCAGAAATGGAATTCAATTTTTGAAAGAACAGAGTATCCGATTAAATAATTTGAAATACATTTTACTTGTTTTGATAAATGAAAAATTGAATAATTTTTTGGAAAGATAGGTCCAGCGGATCTGAAGATCCAATAAAAAAAAGTAAAAATTATGCCATTTGGCGGTTAAAAAAGATCATTAGATATATTTTGTACGTCAAATTATTAAATATGTAATACAGATTTTTTACTGTTACTACTGATATTTTATATGGTTCAAATTTTGAAAAAAATCTAACTTTTCAAAACTGTTCAATTTTTTCAAAAATTTCTAAACTCTCAAAGTTTATTTTTTGGCAATTATATCACTTTTCAGTTATAAAATTCGAATATGCTTCACATACTTCCATTTATATTTTCATTCGCTTTTTGCAGTATTGTATAGAGATCTCTTTCAAAAATTAATATATTAAAAGCATTCGTATCGCAACTGGCATCACGCAAATTGAGCACACTATAACTTTTTATTGGGCTGTGTCGAAAGCTATCAGAATCTGCTTTAAAATTCAATTCAATAGTGAATTTTCTGTTTTTTTTTACCTTTGCTATATGAATCCAGTTTATCTATTTTAGGAAATTAATTTAATCGCTTAACTACTATTTTTTATACGATTTATTATTTTTTTATAAGGGATCGTTCAATTATTACGTAAGCAGATTTAGTACAATTATGTATAACATGTACAAATATGTATTACAGATTTTATTTAATGTAATGTAACGATGTCCAGGGCGAGGCACAAAGGTCCAATTTGACTTTAAGCATTTATATTGTGAAAAACAAACCTATTATATTACAGCAGATGACACAAATCAAACAAATATTTTTGCGATCATGTTCAACAGAACTCCCAGCTAATTCATCATTGTAGAAATGTGTTTTTGCTGATTTTCAACTTTTTTCACACACCCTTTTTACCATAGATCCAACGTCTTTTTTTAATTTTACAAAATAATAGCTATCTATATTATTCAACTAATGCAAAATATAAATTTCATGAGTACATTTTTTACAGAGATAATACTGTATATAATTTATACATATATATATATATATATATAAATTGAATGGCGATATTTTATATTCATTTATTACTATTATGTAATTAATGCTCCGCACTATTTGATATTTTACTAATTATCATGTTTTCCAAAATACAATTATCTCGAACCAAAGGTCCGTCCGGCATACAATGTTCCAGATTAGCTTGTGGGATATACGTACCTACTCCGTGCGTCTGATATAATATTCCATGCAATATTAAACTTTTTATTTTCTATTTTACAATTACGCCGTGAACAGAATCATCCCGAGCCAGGCGAGCTGTAATTTAATCAATGTCCGCGGTGCAGGTCTCTATATGCACCAGGCCAAAGCACTAGGGATGCACCATGGATGTACAAGCAATACAATTCACATATTAGTCCGGATAATGTTTGCCGGAACTCAAACTTTTGAACACGATGACAATTTTCGTACCGGAATAAATTGACTTTTGCGAAACGAGATGACTTTTGTTGAATTGAATATACGGTGTATTCAATATATGGGATATATTGAAAATTGGTGTAATGGGTAATGGATGGTTTAGAATGGTTCGATTAGAAATCTGTTATTGTCTTAGTGTTAATTGTAAAAGTTGCAAATTGGGTTATGCACATTGGGTTGTGATAATTGATGTTACAGGGTGGATTCGTTGAGTATAAATATTGATTACAAATTAGATGCTTTTAGGTGAACTATTCTATTAGATGTCTGTATCAGCTCTTTTAGATCAAACATTGGTAAAAAAATAATTATTTATTAGAAGTTATTATTATAGATAACTAGCAAACCCGACAAACTCCGTTTCGCCACCAGATGGTTTCGTGAAAAAGATGAAGAAATTTTTTATTTGTTTTATATTTGAAAAGGAAAAATTTGATTTTATTATACAACAGTAATGAATTTATTTCGATTACAAAAATGAAGTGTTTTTTAGTTGAACTTCTCTAAGTAAATGAAAGTGAATCCGCAAATAATCCGTTTCATTGAAGTGCTCTTTAGTAAACCACATTTTTTGTTTTTCGGTCTGACGTTAACACAAACAAAGCAGATGGTTTTCCAACTCGTGAACAGGCAACTTATAACTGCCCGTGTGAAAAATTATAATTTTCTAAATAATCTATTTGAAATTTATCCCGCAAACACTAAGCGGTTGGCCTTGCGACTTGTTATTGCGAACGCAAAGCGAACTGGAAATTGCAATCGTTTGAAGTCAAACGGAAGACCAGTCAGAATCATTGGTATGTCACCAAATCGCCAGCAATTTTTGATTGAATGGTGAAACTCAGTGCGTGTACATCATTATTCTTTGCGGCAAGAATTGCTCGTTGACTTAGCCAAGCATAATTCTGATAATTCTCACTAATATAATTACTCGAATTTTTAATTACGGTGCGTGAAGTTCCAGCAGCTTGCATTAAGGCGCAATGCCGTGCACAACTAATTTTCTTAGCTATAAACCTTGCGGAGCCCGAGACCTTTCCAACGAATGCAAAATTGTCGAAATCGGTTCGTGCGTTCTGGATTTATTTTTTATTTAAAGAAAACCCGACTTATATTTATATATATATATAGAAGATTACTTCATTTTTACATTGCTAATACGAAGATAAGTATATAAATACAGGATAGAGCGCTGTTTAATATGTTTTATTTGTTGTGATATAATTGGTTTGGTTTTTACAATATAATTGCTCAAAGTCAAATTGGACCTTTGTGCCTCGTCCTACTATACTTAAAAATTAAAAAGTGAAATTTTTCAATTAAAAATCATTATAAATGTATGAACAAATATTGTTTGTTTTGCTTGAATCTTATATCTCCAAATTCGTTGAAATCATAAAAAATAAAAAATAAAAGATATATTTTTTGAAAAAATGAAATAATGAAAAACTAAATACTTTAAACAAATTATATTGCTTTCATTTACTTTTTCATTATTGAACCTTAAAAAATAAATATCATCGTTTAACATATCTATGGTCCAAAATATCGAACTTTAAATAGACTTTCAAAATCATTATTTTTTCTTCTCAGTACATTCACAGTGTGAGATCGTGTCGCATTTGAACTGAATTCCGGTTCCGTCATTAGACTTGAATCCCTTGTTCCTACATCCGGATTTCTCTTCCCTTACATTGATCTTCCTATTTCCTCCTGAAAAGGACTTGAACGTGAACTATATTGTATTATGAACTTACCCAATTGCAGGTTTTATAGTAAGTACTGAGAAATACGTGGCGTAAAAATGTGCAATCCTGGATCTATATAAATAAACGATGATTCATTATTAATTTCAAATGATTGTAAAAATTATAAGCCATAATTTTCACACAAAACTTGTATCTGTAAATGTTGAAGTTATTAGGAAGTTCATTTAATGCACCAAAAATAATTAAGAACAATATTGCTAAAATATTTCGTTGTTGTTTATATTTATAATGAACATATGTAAATGTTCATAACATTCCGTACATTTTGGCATATCACAGAAGAAATTAATTGTTTATCTTTACCCAGTTTTTTAACTGTACCTGCTCCTTTATTTTTATCTGGTCCTTACCTTTATCTGGTCTTTTACCTTTACATGATCCTTTACGTTTACCTGGTCCTTTACCTATACCTGATCCTTTACTTTTGCCTCGTTTTCTATTTTTAACTTGTTTTTTACCTTTACCTGTTTTTTACCTTTACCTGGTTCTTTACCTTCACCTGGTCCTTTTCTTTAACATAGCTCGTTACCTTTTTCCTTTATTTTTACCCGGTCTTTTACCTTCACCAGGTCCCGTACCTTTACCAGGTCCTTTACCTTTACCAGGCACTTTACCTTTACCAGGTCCTTTACCTTTACCTGGTCCTTTACCTTTGCCTGATCTTTTAACTTTGTCTGGTCGAAGATACTTTTCAAAAAGATCTTTAAAACGATGGCTCTGAGGAAAGAAAGTATTGATACCTAATTTTGAGACAATTTTAAACTCTACAATTTTGTCTGAGGTAATTTTGCGATATAACGGTTCATTCAGCTAAATATCGCGAAGAATTTGCTTTTTGACCTTTGACCTTGTGCCAATCTTTTAGCTCGCACCGGAATGATGAGGACTTTTAAGATTTTTTTATAATTGTATTTTAAGCAATTTCACCAAGTTACAGCCCATTATATATTTTTGTAACCCTTGAATACGTAAATTGACAGGACTACTGCAGTGAGCGATTCCTTTGAAAAAAAGTTCAAAATTAAAAAAAAACAAATTATAAAAAAAATCAAAAATTTTAAAGAGTTATATTTTATCTTAGCAATTTGCCTTAAGGCACGATGCCATGCACCACTAGTTATAGTATGTAATGTGTAATAAATTTTCTGCAATCAAATAGTTATTTTAATTTTAGAAAAATGAGATATAAATGTATATACTTTTTAGGTAAAATTTCAGATATAGGGCGTCTTTTGCCTCAGGGCGCGACAATTTCGAATCCGGTCCTGACTATATATATATATATATATATATATATATATATAAGCTTTATAAAAATGCAATTTACTTTCATTCTATAATTTGATCAACTCTTATAGATAGTAAGTCAAATGACATTCGCAGTGATTGTGCCAAACTTTGATCTCCAACCGTGTAACTCATATAAACGAAATGTAATGAACAAATTGCATTTTACGAAATTTTCTCATTTCTATTATACTTTGAAATTAGCAATTACGATGGTTCAAAGAGATTGGTAATAGAGTCAGCGGACCTTTTACATTACATGTTTGGGATTTTCTTATAATCAGATTAGATTTTTTTAAATTGGTCTCTGCCAAAATCCGATATTTGCAATCAATAATAATGAACAAATCTTGAAAGGCTAAATGATAAACTACTATTCAAACTCTTCAAACATATATTACCGTTTAAAGCCAACTGTTGATTCTACGATCCCTCATTCAATATAGTAGCTTTGAAGATATCTATTTGGATTTTGATTCATTTTTTTGTTATCTTGGATTCAATAAACCTTCATCTTACGTGGATGTAATGGAATTTAAAAGTAATTTCTCATCTTTTATCGTCACTTAACCTCCATGCTCCTTTCTGAAGAACAGTGAAGTCGAAAACGACGTTATATTAATAAGATAAGAAAACAATTTTTTCGTTCTAGATCTGTAATGTATATATATATATATATATATATATATATATATATATATATATATAGTATATATATGTATGTATATATATATATATACTAGATAGAATAATATTATTGTTTATGTTCAAATCTTAGGTGAATTAATTTGTAAGATTTAGTTCATATGAGCACTCTTCAATCTACGATCAACTTGCTAAATAGTCCATATCCAATGCCAAACTAGTGGTTTATGGCATCGTGCCTTAAGGCAAATTGCTGGAACTTCCCGTACCGTAACGAAATGATCGAGGAATATTAGATGTTTTCATATAGATTTTTATAATTATTGTAACATTGTCTAATATTTATAAGAATTATATAAACTGAATTGCAAAGTTGAAATTATTTGTTTAAAGTATATTAGAATTTTCGTCAGAATTAAAATTAAAATCTGAATTATTTTCGATATACAAAAAAAAAATCTTGAAAAAAGATATATATATATATATATAATATATATATATATATATATATATATATATATATATATATACATTGTAGAGTCTCGAACAAGAATCCAAAAAGTAATAAAAAACGAAAAAAAGTTTTTTAAATGAACTATTTATTTATTTATTTATTTCATTTACTGTCGACGTTTCGGAACTAGGTACGTTCCATCTTCAGGACATCTGTCAAGAAACATGATCTTGATGAGATTTAAGCAAACAATATGTTTAAGAAAAGAAAATGGATTTTTTAATTAATAAATTAGTTGAAAAAAATAATAATGTACAAATATAAGATGATATGATCAAAATGAAAATGATAAAAATAAATGAGTGGATTATATAACAGGATATTAAAGATGATAAAGATACCATTTATATATATATATATATATATATATATATATATATAATAGAATTTTGTGATATGAGTGAAACGAATATTAAATGTTAAATATGAACAAAGCAACACTCAGATTTTACACAACTTTATTTAATAAATACAAACGTAAAGACATGCGACACTCACAGAAATATTCGAAACAAATCTGAAGTATCTAGTAGGAGACAGGATGGGTAACATTATAATGTAAACAAATGTATCTTATCCTTTTCAATAAATTTCATATTTATCGATTTTTGTATGCGAGCGCATTCCTTTCATTTACATTATAATGTTACCCATCCTGTCTCCGTCTAAATACTTCAGATTTGTTTCGAATATTTCTGTGTGTGACATGACTGACATGTATATGTCGTTACCGTGTCAAGCATTGGTCTCGAAACGTTTGTAATTAAAATAAAGTTGTGTTAAAAATCTGAGTGTTGCTTTGTTTATATTTAACATTTAATATATATATATATATATTTATGTGTGCTTAATTGTGTCTTAAATGTGTCTTTATCGTGTCAAGCAATGACTGAAACAATTGTCACTTGTCAATGCAAGGAATAGTTGGTGTTTTTTATATTCAAAAGTTAAATATAGTTTAAATAAAACATTAAAGAATGTATAGTATATAAGTAACTGTTTTTTGAAATTACACTAAAGATGAGGCACACCATGATCTCGAAAAGTTTGTAATTATTAAATAAAGTTGTGTAAAAAATCTGAGTGGTGCTTTGTTCATATTTAACATTTAATATATATATATATATATATATATTATTTTTATTGATGTTACGCCCGATTATTAAACTCAAATTAAACATATATATCAACATCAAATTCAAGACTATTCAAAAATATATATATATATATATATACAATATATATATATATATATATATATATATGTGTGTGTGTGTGTGTGTGTGCGCGCTTAATTGGTTAATAGTGCTTTTGCAGGATTTTATGAACAATTAGGATCAAAGGAATAACTTGACAGTACTTAATATTTTAAAAAATGAACTGTTTAAAGTTTTTGAAAATATGAAAATATTGCACAAAAAGTTGAAGTTTAATTAGAAAATATCAATGTAAGTAATTAACATAAGAATTTTATATATGCATAAATATATTTGTTTCTGTTTAACACAAGTAGCTATTTATTAATGTTGTTAAAAAAGTGCTCTTTTTTGAAAAAATATTTTTTACACAATATTTTTGTATAAATTGTTAATAATTGAATTAGGGTTTTGTACAGCTTGTAAAATTTTCTTTCTTATGGTATACATTAATGTATACCTTACTTAATAAAATACATTCATATTTTGTTTTCAAAAATTATCGTTATCGTTTCTACGCCTTTTTCCTTAATCTTTTACGTCATTTATCTTTAATAGCTTTTAGACCATTTAATGTAAACGAATGTTTATTTCGGGAAATGTGTGTACAATTTAAACGATCTGCAATACTATCTAACACGCTATAACGAACTATAGCAACTTTATATACTTTAAAAACTCTTTATAAAAAATATTGCCATCAAAAGTTCATTTATACATTATACTTGAGATAAGCAATGAGATGTTCTTTTACAATTAAATAAATAATTTTAGATGAATGTTGTTCTGCGACCAATCACAATGCTCGAAAATGACGTATGTTTTTAGCGCTGATTATGATTGGCTAGCTAATTAATGTGGTTCGTTTTTTTTCGTCTTTTTTCGACCCTTTCGCATTGTCCATAAATAGGGGGTGCGCGAAGGAATTCTTGGCAGTCGCCGGCCGTGGCCGGCGCCGGTGTCACCTAGGGTGGCACTGAAAGCCCTCGGGGCACCAGACCGGTCGCTCCCTGTGGAGCTGGATTGGACAGGAGCCTCGGGGCCTCCGCCGGAGACTCCCGGCTACGGAGTCTTCCGTCTGCGGAGACTCCCGGCCACGGAGATTCCGGGCTACGCGGAGACTCCCGGGCCACGCGGAGACTCCAGGCCACGGGGACTCCCGGGCACGGGGACTCCCGGGCCATGCGGGGACTCCTGGGCACGGAGACTCACGGGACATGCGGGGACTCCTGGGCACGGAGACTCCCGGGCCATGCGGAGACTCCAGGCCACGGGGACTCCCGGCCACGGGGACTTCCGAGCTACGGACCTCCGGCCACGGAGACTTTCGGCCACGGAGACTGCTGTCGACGGGGTCCCCAGTGGACAAGATCTCCAGGTTACGGGGCCGCGGGATAAGGCCACGGAGACTTCGTGCTGCGAGGAACACATCCAAATTGTATTTTTACGGTATTCTAATTGGATATTCCCGACGCCCAGAGTCTCCGTGGCCGGGAGTCCCCGTGGCCTGGAGTCTCCGCATGGCCCGGGAGTCCCCGCATTGGCCGGGAGTCCCCGCATGGGCCGGGAGTCCCCGCATGGGCCGGGAGTCCCCGTGGCCTGGAGTCTCCGCATGGCCCTGGAGTCTCCGCATGGCCCGGGAGTCTCCGTGCCCGGGAGTCTCCGCGTGGCCCGAGAGTCCCCGTGGCCAGGAGTCTCCGCATGGCCCGGGAGTCTCCGCATGGCCCGGGAGTCCCCGCATAGCCCGGGAGTCCCCGTGGCCTGGAGTCTCCGCATGGCCCGGGAGTCTCCGTGCCTAGGAGTCCCCGCATGTCCCGTGAGTCTCCGTGCCCAGGAGTCCCCGCATGGCCCGGGAGTCCCCGTGCCCGGGAGTCCCCGTGGCCTGGAGTCTCCGCGTGGCCCGGGAGTCTCCGCGTAGCCCGGAATCTCCGTGGCCGGGAGTCTCCGCAGACGGAAGACTCCGTAGCCGGGAGTCTCCGGCGGAAGCCCCGAGGCTCCTGTCCAATCCAGCTCCAAAGGGAGCGACCGGTCTGGTGCCCCGAGGGCTTTCAGTGCCACCCTAGGTGACACCGGCGCCGGCCACGGCCGGCGACTGCCAAGAATTCCTTCGCGCACCCCCTATTTATGGACAATGCGAAAGGGTCGAAAAAAGACGAAAAAAACGAACCACATTAATTAGCTAGCCAATCATAATCAGCGCTAAAAACATACGTCATTTTCGAGCATTGTGATTGGTCGCAGAATAACATTCTAAAAATTTGTTAATATACTCCAATATAAAATTTATTTCTTCAGTAACAAGGATGAAATAAACGAAAAAGTTTATCAAAGAAGCTCGAGTCTCTCAAGGAATTACAAATAGTATTATAACTCAACAAACCTTGATTTATAATGAAAAAAATAAATCGAAAAGTGGTCAAGGAGATTCTGGATCAGTTTATAAACATATATAATGTTAAATATGAAATTAATTAGATGTAAGTGGCACTTTGCTTTAAGGCAAGTTGCATGAAATGGGTAAATAATCAGCTTAATCGATGAGAATTGTTTTGCGAGCACATTTTTTGACATTTATTTTAATTGTGGAAAAACTTATTTAAGCACATAAATTTCATTTTACATAGATGAAAAGCTTATAAAATTTTCTATAAAACTGCATTTAACGATTTTTAACTTTCGGAACAAAATCATAATGAAGAAAATCGTCAAACTTTAAATTCGTATAACTTTGCAAACAAAATGTTTGTACGTTTTATTAATATTTGATTAAAATGTGCAAAATTTGTTAAAACACATAAAATTTGTTTTATATTGATGAAAAGCTTATAAAATTCTTTATACATCTGCATTTACCGTTTTTGAACTTTCAAACTTTAAAATCTTATAACTAAGCAAACAATAAATGGTTTATGCATTTTGTGACACCTGTTTAAAATGTGCAAAAATTTGTTAAAACACATAAATCATATTTTGCGTAAATAAAAAGCTTATAGGATTTTTATCTCTATTTATTATTATTTTCTCAATTTATAAAAATATATATCACATTTTGTTTATCACCCGAAATTACGATATAGTATACAAAACTCAATGCCAAACCGAATCGAGGTAGTAAACTAGCTGTAATAACTAGTAGGTAATCGAGTGTAGTAAACCAGCTGTAAGTGGAATTCTGTCTTAAGGCAATTAAGGCATCGTGCATTAAGGCAAATTGCTGGAACTTCCCGTACCGCAATTCAAAATTCGAGTAATTAAAAATAATCAGTAATAATCAATAAAAGTTGATCAATGATTTAAACCTTTTAATAGAATTTCGAACCATATTAAATCATTCTATCTTAAATCATTCATTTTGAAATATTTTGGAAATTCTGAACTTTTTTTTCAAAGCAATCGTACAGCTTTAACTGCATAAAGACGAAATATGGAAGCGCGTAAGCGCCGCGTCGCCGTCTAACGCGTAAACATTGGTACGGAACCCATAGGAATGTAAAAAAAAATTATACTTATTGTTAAAATCTCTATAAAATATCTGATAATTTGATTTGCATATGTCTAATGATCATTTTTGACCGCCAGATGGCATTTTTTTTTACTTTTTTTACTAGATCTCCGAATCCGCTAGACCTGCCTTCATGAAAATTTGATCACTTGTTCATCTTGTTAATACAAGTAAAATGTTTTTTGAATTATTTAAATCGGACGCTGAGTTACCGTTTTTGGCACTTTTTGCTCCATATCTTCGGAACGGCTAGACCTGCCTTCGCCAAAAACTAATCAGCACGTCTCCTTATCAATACGAATCGAATGTTTTTTGAATTATTCAAATCGCTTCATCCGTGTTCCCGAAATCGTCGACGAAAATTTGTATTCGCACATACACACACACATACATCCATTTTTTCTAAGGTATGCCAAAATGTTCAAAAACCTTTGAAACGTCAAGATATATAAAAATTTTCATTTTCGATTTTTTTGCGATTACTATAACTTGCCCTACGGGAAGTTAACAAATGAAGTTTTGACACATGAAACAAAATTCTAATTCATTATTTTGATAAGTAGAAATATTTTTTATTGTTCAATAATTTAGTAAAAAAAAAATAAAATGCCACATGCATAAGTTTAAAAAAAACAATGTATATGCAATTTTGGACTTATATAATTTTATCTGCCTTACGAAAACTCTTGTGTTGATCTTGACTGTATCTTATATTATTTTAATTTCTCTCACATCCCAGCTCCTTTTCTGCAATAATAATGTAGACATTACATTTTTCTTCTATATTATTTTATAATATTATCTATGCTCATAATTGCAGCTAATTTCAAATTTCAAGTGAATCGACATTTCTAGCAGATGGCAGTTCAAATGTTTTCAATGTCAAACAGTGATAAGTGGTTTTTGTGATTTTTACCATTTATTTCCCTTGAAAAGCTCTAACAAGAATTATCAAAATCCGAATAACCGTTTAGAAAAAATATCAAATCATACACCCGTACAGCAGAATTCTATATATAAGATATATATATATATATATATATATATATATATATATATATATATATTATATGAAATTCTTTGAGGTACTGAATTTATTTGCGTTATTTTTTATACGAAATGAAATAAAAAATGAAGACATGCTTCTGTAGTGTAGAGGATACTGGATACGGTAGTGCCAGTCGTCATGATAGATAAACTATACTGATTATGAGATAGGGTCCAAGTTGAGAAAGATGGAATATGTTTATTTAATAGAGTTTCCATTGTTGCATTAAACCAGAGTTACCATTTAATTCACTTTTCTCCAGGTACCTGGTGATAAATTAATATAATTATTGATGGTCACAAAAAAGTGGCATCGATCCCTGTACGAATCAGTTATAATCTTATGTGATTGAAATAACAGACATCCACCTATATTTTCTCCCACAGTATACTTTGATCAAATAAAATCTCAAAAAGGCACTCCTGTAACATAGACACAGTCATTTAACGTAAACAGTTTCATAATAATATCAAAAACTTCAGAACTCACGTTTTATAAGCAATTCCCGCAACTTTGCCGACATAATCCAGCGTCCGTACGAGCGACAGAGATATTTTTCTCATTTAATGAGTGGGAAAGAGAACTTTTATTACATTACAGTTTAACTAACTTCTGATTTTAGTTTTAAAAAGTTGTGATAGTTTTCAGAAATGCTATCAAGAAGGCAAGAAAGAATAAATCTATCTGGAGACATAATCCACATTTGTGAACTACGGTAAAAGTATTCGAAGAAGTTGCCTGGCGAGGTGTGAAAGTACGCCTCGAGGGCGATTTGAAAGTTTCAAAAGTTAAATAGAAGTTGAAATTATTGAGACAAATTTGGATGAGATAATAAATAGCAATTGTTTTGCTGCTGCATGGAATTGATATGCAAACTAACTAACTTGAAAGTCACTGAAATATATCTACAGTCTAACATATAAAAACACACTTAATAAAACTCAATGTTTAACTTCCCGAAGAAGAAGTTTGTTTTCATAAAAAATCCAGTTCGCTAATTTTATGTTTCTCGACGTTTCAAGCCATTGAGACCAAATTTGGAAAAAATATGTTTGTGTGTGTGTATGAGTGTGTGTGTATGTGAACAGAAGCCGTTTCTTTATAAATAGCAAAAAAGTAAAAAAAAATTCTTCCACGTTTTAGCCCACAATTCAGAATCGATTCTGAAAATTCAAAAACCGTTCAAAAGATATTGGCTGGGAATCGTGCTGATTAGTTTTTGGTAGAGATCGGCCAAGCCGTTTTCTTGTTTTAAAGTGTTAAAAAAATTTTTTTCGACGATTTTTATTATTATTTTTTTGACGGTAGATACCATAGTCTTAGATCATACTAAAATATTACCGCCCTACGACAACTCGTTTCACTTTAAAAATTCGTCAAAGTTTGCAAAAATTAGTATCGGTTTTTGGCATTTGTAAAAATCAGACCTTTCATCGACGTTTGCTCAAAAACGCCTGAACCGATTTCAGAAATTTAAAAGCCATTCGATGTATCTCGATGAGGATTATCGTTTCTCAGTTTTGAGCGACAATCGGCCGAGCCGTTTCTTTGTAATTTGAAAAAAGTGTTAAACTTTTTGTCCACATTTAAGCTCATACTACCGAATCGATTTTTGAAAATCAAAAACTTCGAAAGATATTAGTTGGGAATGATACTGATTAGTTTTAGGTGAAAATCTACCGAGCCGTTTTTTGTAATTAACTGTTGAAAAAAAGTTTAAGCCGATTTTTATGAAACTTTTTTTGGCTATATATATCATGGTCTTATAAAACTTACTGAAATATTACTGTCTTACGACAAGTAGTTTAAATTTAAAAAATTCATCAAAATTTGTACTCTGTACTACCCATTATTATTTTATCTCACAATCCAAAAACCATTCTTTCGCTATGACATCTCGCCATTTATTTCTTCATTATCTTTTGATACAATAATTAATAACAGAATTTTAATTGAGTATAACGACTCGCTTTTGATTAATAATGCCTTCTAATCTGCGTTCCGTTATCTTCAAAGTTTATGACTCTGTATATTGTATAGGCGAATCTAAATTAATTAACATCCACTGTTCATCTTTGGCCTCTTAACGTTTTCAAGTTTCAACTTAGTAATCTATATAATGCTTATATCGCATTTGACAGTTTGATTATTATCAAAATATATTACACTGGAAAGAAAACTTTGCCAAATCGTACATTTTCAGAAAAAGGAAAACGAAGGTTGAAGCTGTGTTGCAGGGTATTTAACGCAGCCTTTTTTGGAAAGATGGATTTATATACATTTGTAATATTTACTGGGGTTTTAATATATTGAACTTAGAACACCTGATTAACTTTCTTATAGAAGTCAAATATTGTAATAAATTTTTGTTTTTGTGGGTTTGGATTTTAAGGCATAGATCCTAGGTTCTGTGCCCAATTTGGCAGCTTGACCTCAAGAAGGGACATCGGTTTTCACTTGGAACACATATAGCAATATGCTTCCTGATAAAAAGAGTTCTTCCCCGGCATTGCACCAACAAGTATTACTAGTATTAGAGACATTTCAATAATAAATTCATCGCATTGAGTTAGGACAGCTATTTGGGCTGCATCCAAAAAGCTACGTCAATAAGAAAGAAGTCAGAGCTACAGCTCATAGGGCTCTTAAATCAACGTTCAAATAGTATACTAAACA